AGAAGAGTAGCAATTTGCCTTCTACCGGGAAAAGCCCTGAGGAGAATTTATCCTTGTATCACAATTATCTTTTCCAGCATTGAAAAGAGGTATTCAAGTTCAGTGATAACTAAATCAACTTCAGGATCCTACTACGGTTTTTTCCTTCTTAGTAGTCTTCTGAGAGAGGTGCTCTCCCTAAGCACCCTGGAGAGTGCTGGCTGCACCCTTAGAGAAAGGCAACGATGCTTGGAGAGTGTGTTTTGCCTTGTGCTGTGAGGTTTGTTTCTGAAAATTCTAATTGACAGCTTTTCTATTTTCATCAACCATACTGCATCCCTTGTAATTTAGCCCAGAAAACTAGGTGGTGGATAAGAAACCTCCTTGTGATCTTGCATGGAACATCTGAACGTCCAGGGTGTTGTTAGTTGCCCTGAAGAATGCTGGAGAATGTTCAGGTCCCCTCTGAGGAAACTTAATAACCGTGATCTCTCCATGAGGGAGACTTATTGGCAAGTGTTCCCTGATAAGAAACCTGGAGTTAAAATGAAGAAACCTGGCTGCAACTAAAAATTATAAATTAGTGAAAGTGACCAGAAAAATGTAAGAACCAGATATTGTTTGTGTGTGTGCGTGTGGGTGCGTGTGTGTGTGTGAGTGTATGTGTGTGTTTTAGGAAGGAAGTTACTTAAAGAAGTACTTATTTCTGTCCTGCAGAGCTAAAGAGTTTTGGTTGCTTCTGGTTGACTTGGATGGATTCTTAATGCTATTTCAGACTGGTGATGCTGGTGGCTACAATGGATGAAAAACTGTTTGTATGTTAAAACCTACAGCCAATTGTGGCTTTTATTTATTCACTCACATATTTATTAATCATCACTTGTGTTCCAGACACTCAGACTGGCACCCAGATACTCTTTCAAGAAAAGCTAAGCATTATTTTTATAATAACCCTGTGATGAGCTAGGCAGCTCACTTTACTTCTCTGGGCTACATGTCAAGAAGACAATTGTTAAAATAAGTTACTCTAATCCAACTAACATGGCTGGCTTTTGTGGCTATGGGAGCATATGCCAGAATGCCAGAGAAAAGTTGTTACAGGTTGAGCATCCCTAATCCAAAGATCTGAAATCTGAAATCTTTCAAAATGGAAACGTTTTGAGCGCCAACAAAATTATTTAAAATATTGTATAAAGTTACCTTCAGTCTATATGTATACAGTGTATATGAAACATAAATGAATTTTATGTTTAGAATTGGGTCTCCTCCCCAAGAAATCTCGTTATGTATATGAAAGTATTCCAAAATCCGAAAAAATCTGAAATCCAAAACACTTCTGGCTGCAAGTGCTTCAGATAAGGGATATTCAACCTGCACAAAAAATGAGGGTTCACATTCTTTGGTGATATGTTGATAAAACTTAATGAAACGATGTAACATTGGCAGACAGAAATCCTTCATCTAGAGCTAGATGTTAATTACCATGGTTGAAGATCAATTCTTTCCAATTTATTTAACAAACTACTTTGACTGAATGTTAGAATACAAATTATAGACGAAAACCAAGATATCTCCTTCAATAATTTCATTGTAACAGAATTGGTACTTATTCATCCATTATTCCACAAATGTATTTGAATGACCAATTAATAGTGCTAGAAGCTTGCAGTATAGCAGAGGAAGATGTAAATGCACTACAATGTCTTCATTCTGAAAAAAGAAGCTTTAAAGCTACAGTTCCAGGGAGGCGGGGAGCGGGGTGCAAAAAGTCATAATAAAAGTCAAAGAATAACTCACTAGCGGTAACATAATAGTCTCAGCATCCTCTTAAACACTATGTCTCCTTCCTTTCCTTTTTCCCAGCCAGAAAGAAAAGAAACAGGTACCACCATTAGGGGTTTATAGCTGTTATCTTAAACCTGTATTATTTTTTTTTTCTTCTTCCTTTATAACTAAGTGGCTTTACTTGACTAAATTCTTACATAGGTAGAAGGAGAGGCCTCTATCTAGGCTCCAGAAAGAAGAATCAAAGTAAACAATTTGGGAAAAAAAGCTCCTGGGGAAACCTAAAACAACATAAGGGGTAAATGAAATTTTCTGGATTTAAGTCTGTAAAACTACATTTCACAGCATTTTGCTAAAGCTTAGTTCTGAGTGATGATGCACCCAAATAATTTGCTTAAATGTTCATCTCGTTTTTTTTTTTCTTTTTTATTATACTTTAAGTTCTAGGGTACACGTGCACAACGTGCAGGTTTGTTAGATATGTATACTGTATACTTGTGCCATGTTGGTGTGCTGCACCCATCAACTCGTCAGCACCCATCAACTCATCATTTACATCAGGTATGACTCCCAATGCCATCCCTCCCTCCTCCCCCCTCCCCATAATAGGACCCGGTGAGTGATGATCCCCTCCCTATGTCCAAGTGATCTCATTGTTCAATTCCCACCTATGAGTGAGAACATGCAGTGTTTGGTTTTCTGTTCTTGCGATAGTTTGCTAAGAATGATGGTTTCCAGCTGCATCCATGTCCCTACAAAGGACACGAACTCATCCTTTTTTATGGCTGCATAGTATTCTATGGTGTATATGTGCCACATTTTCTTAATCCAGTCTGTCACTGATGGACATTTGGGTTGATTCCAAGTCTTTGCTATTGTGAATAGTGCCGCAATAAACATACGTGTGCATGTGTCTTTATAGCAGCATGCTTTATAATCCTTTGGGTATATACCCAGTAATGGGATGGCTGGGTCATATGGTATTTCTAGTTCCAGATCCTTGAGGAATCGCCATACTGTTTTCCACAATGGTTGAACCAGTTTACAATCCAACCAACAGTGTAAAAGTGTTCCTATTTCTCCACATCCTCTCCAGCACCTGTTGTTTCCTGACTTTTTAATGATTGCCATTCTAACTGGTGTGAGATGGTATCTCATTGTGGTTTTGATTTGCATTTCTCTGATGGCCAGTGATGACGAGCATGTTTTCATGTATCTGTTGGCTATATGCATGTCTTCTTTTGAGAAATGTCTGTTCATATCCTTTGCCCACTTTTTGATGGGGTTGTTTGTTTTCTTCTCATAAATTTGTTTGAGTTCTTTGTAGGTTCTGGATATTAGCCCTTTGTCAGATGAGTAGATTGCAAAAATTTTCTCCCTTTCTGTAGGTTGCCTGTTCACTCTGATGAAAGTTTCTTTTGCTCTGCAGAAGCTCTTTAGTTTAATGAGATCCCATTTGTCAGTTTTGGCTTTTGTTGCTGTTGCTTTTGGTGTTTTAGACATGAAGTCCTTGTCCATGCCTATGTCCTGAATAGTATTACCTAGGTTTTCTTCTAGGGTTTTTATGGTTTTAGGTCTAACATTTAAGTCTCTAATCCATCTTGAATTAATTTTCGTATAAGGAGTAAGGAAAGGATCCAGTTTCAGCTTTCTACTTATGGCTAGCCAATTTTCCCAGCACCATTTATTAAATAGGGAATCCTTTCCCCATTTCTTGTTTTTGTCAGGTTTGTCAAAGATCAGATGGCTGTAGATGTGTGGTATTATTTCTGAGGGCAACTCTGCACCAAGCAGACCTAATAGACATCTACAGAACTCTCCACCCCAAATCAACAGAATATACATTCTTCTCAGCACCACATTGCACTTATTCCAAAATTGACCACATAGTTGGAAGTAAAACACTCCTCAGCAAATGTAAAACAACAGAAATTATAACAAACTGTCTCTCAGACCACAGTGCGATCAAACTAGAACTCAGAACTAGGAAAATCAATCAAAACCGCTCAACTACATGGAAACCGAACAACCTGTTCCTGAATGACTGCTGGGTACATAACGAAATAAAGGCAGAAATAAAGATGTTCTTTGAAACCAATGAGAACAAAGATACAACATACCAGAATCTCTGGGACACATTTAAAGCAATGTGTAGAGGGAAATTTATAGCACTAAATGCCCATAAGAGAAAGCTGGAAAGATCTAAAATTGACACCCTATCATCTCGTTTTAATCCTGGTTCCTGAGAGTTTAAAGGGATTATTAGGCAAAGTTTATGGGAGGCGATTTCATTGTTTAGACCAAGCTCCTGCACTGGGCTCCAGCAGACAATGTCACTCATGCTAGGTGTCATGCACGATTACACTAAACTTTGAAACAGGCAAGTTTTCCAGAAATCAGAAGATTCACAGCAGCTAAGCAGAAGGGGCTCACTTTACCTGAGCCAGCATGATAAGGAAGCCCCTTCTGTGTTAACCCTATAAGTAAAGTAACTTTGAAACGACCAATCTGCTTTTGTTCCTTGTTTCTGCTTTCTTCAGCCCTTTTCTGCCTATAAAGCCAACCTATAAAATGGAGCATGCATTCTGTTTTAAGAATGAGATAGTGCCCAGTTCTAGAATCACTAATAACAGCCAATTACATCTTAAAACCAAACTTGCTGTAATTTTATTTTTTAACAATATCAATAAAGGTGCCTTTATTCTAAGAGCTATATGAGGTGGTTTGATCATATTCACAGAATTATAAAATTAGCATAAGAAAATTATTGAATTAAACCCCAAATTGTTTGTTCAATATGGTGGCTGGTTATTAATCGTGAGGATAGGAAAGATGTTCCTTGATTAGTGTTGGTCCTGAAAGAACTTATTGTCTTGTTAAGAAGAAAAGACTCACAAAAAATAATCCAAAACAGAATATAGTCAAGTTTCAACTATGTGTATTATAGATGTTCAGAGAATTGTGTTGTGTTGATTTTTGTTAGCATAGAAGGCCTTGTAAAACATGTATGAGTAGAAGCCTATTAGAACTGAGTTTTTTTGTTCTTTTTTTTTTTCTTTTTGAGACAGAGTTTTGCTCTGTCACCCAGGATGGAGTGCAATGGCGCGATCTTGGCTCACTGCAACCTCCGCCTCCAGGTTCAAGTGATTCTCCTGCCTCAGCCTCCCAAGGCACTGGGACTACAGGTGTCCACCACCACGCCCAGCTAATTTTTGTAATTTTAGTAGAGACAGGGTTTCACCAGGTTGGCCAGGCTGGTCTCAAACTCCTGACCTCACATGATCCATCTGCCTCAGCCTCCCAAAGAGTGTTTTTACAGGTTCCATCCCTTATTCCTCCCTTATTCCTGGAGTCATCTTAGGGAAATTTTCTGACATTTTATTGCCATCTGTAAAGTAGAGAGAAAGATTACTTGCTTGCTTGCTGAGGACTAATGAGATACAATTTTGAGAAGTCATTTTTTTCATCCCAACAATTTTCACCAACCATGATCACACTAAATTTGTCTTACTCAAAAACAGGCATAATGTAATGCTGTTAAGAACATATTATTCTAATATTCAGTCCAGAATTCCTCTCTGTGAACTGTTTCTGTTCAGAATCCGTGTTCATAAATGCTGGGAGTGTGTCAGCTGGTGACTCCAGAGGAAAGGGGAAGCCACTATGCATGAGGTAAAAGGAGGAATGTGTTGTTTTGCTACTGAGAAGGACTGGGGAGGGGAGTGGAATAAAGGGTGGGAGCAGAGAAGAGACATGCCAGCAAAATAAAAAAGCAGGTGCTGCAGAGAAAGAGCCAGGAGAGAAACTTCTGGTGGTGAGTGTTAAAAATGGACTTGGGGGACAGGACAGTATAATAAGTGATGAGCTTTTGCCCCTTGTCTCTCTAGTCATCAGGAAAGTCTATTGTGCTTATAAATGCTTTGTTTCAATTTTTGGCAAACACAATAAAGGAGCTGTTTAATATCTGGTAGCACCTCATGCTGACCCTGATGTAAACAAGAAACAAGAGCCCAAGAAGCAGAGGAAGTTAGGAGATAGTAAGCTGTCCAGAAATTAGCCAACAATCATGGAATGGCTCTAGACTTCTGTAGCAAATGGAAATATGAGGTTAATTCCAGGTTTATGTAAATCACCAAGGGTTAGATGAACTCTCATATGGCATGTTACACCAATTTGTAAGGACATCAGAAAACAGTTCACATTGTTTCAAAGTTGGCTCCATAAGCGGGCAATTATTTTTAATATATATCAGGGCTTAGAACATGATACCCCAAAATATGGCACCTTGGCATAAGCAGAAAGCTCACTCTCTTTCTCCAACCTTCTCTCCTCAGGCCATAAAAATCATTCTCTATCCCTCCATGTGGAGAATGAAGACCTTTTGGGACACCTTGTACCCAGAGAAAAGGAATGAAAATACATACAGCCAGAGCAGAATCTGAACAAACAGGTCAACAGGCCTTGCTAAGTTCCCCCTAGTTTATTGATCATATCCTTTTTGATCAATCAGTTTTGTTTGTTTGTTTGTTTGTTTGTTTGTTTGTTTTGAGATGGAGTCTCACTCTGTTGCCCAGGCTAGAGTGTGCAGTGGCATGATCTCAGCTTACCTCAACCTCTGCCTCCTGGGTTCAAGCAATTCTCCTGCCTCAGCCTTCCAAGTAGCTGGGATTACAGGTACCCACCACCACGCCCGGCTAATTTTTGTATTTTTAGTAGAGATGCGGTTTCACCATGTTGTCCAGGCTGGACAATCAGACTTCTATGTGACTGTCCATTCTTTAGCAAACCTAGGCATAAAAATACACAGCTTTTCCTAAGTCTTTGGGTCGTCATTTCTGAAGTTTCCCGTGTCACATAAAATTTTGGTTAAAAAATTTTGTTATGCCTTTCTCTTGTTAATCTGCCTTTTGTTATAGGTGTCAGCCACTGATTGTCAACTTCACAATTGGTGTGAAAAAGATACTACTTTTTCTCTCCTGCACATCTAATGAAATTCTTCAGTTTAAATCCTTAGGTGTAAACCAATAATATCCCCAATCTTTGTTTTGTACTAACAGTCTTGCCTTTTTCTAAATCAAATACATCCTTGTGGATTATTACTCTCACCTACATTGTCTTCAGAAAAGGAAAATAAAATTACTCTATTGGAGATCACAATGACACAATATTCTGAAAGTGGAGCTGCCTTATAAAACTATTTTTTGTTCCATTCTTTCACAGTTATTTTTAAAGTTCTGTTTTTAAAATTCACAGTTCTACTCTTTGAGACTTCAACTACAAAGTCAAGTATTGCCATTCTTAACATTTAATTCATTCTTGCAGCCAGGAGTTCAAGACCATCCTGGGCAACATAGTGAGATCCTATCTCTACAATTTTTTTTTAAAATTAGCTGTGCTTGGTGACATGTACCTGCAGTCCCAGCTACTTGTGAGGCTGAGGTGAAAGGACTGCTTGAGCCCAGACGTTCAAAGCTGCAGTGAGCTATGGTCATACCACTGCACTCCACCCTGGGTAAGAGAACAAGACCCAGTCACCAAAAAAAAAAAAAAGAAAAAAGAATTCTTCCTGCATTCAACGACATTGCCTTTCATTTTGGCCATTTCCTCCTCTCCCCAATTGTGACCTCCATACTGAGTTATGCTACAAGTCCCTGATTCCTTTTCAGGTGGTCTCTGTAATTGGAATTGGAGGTGTGAAGGGAGTTCACATTCACACAGAGCCTGCTGAAGTAAGGTAAGCCTTACTTACACAGGCAACTTTTAACTGTGATGATACCTCAGTAAAATGTTATGCAACTTCGGTGTCTTTTAAATATTCTGTGACACTTTCAGAGGAAATATTCCAGTACATAAAATTATCTCTTGTGTTACCTGAGAGAATGACAACGCTGTTTTAAAAATTACTCTGAAATTCCTAGAAAATCAAACCAAACCAAAAACCTCACTATGTTTTTTTATTTTCCCGGTAAATAAATATTTTTTCTTTGTCATATTTAGGTTGTGGTGAGAGTTACGTAGTATGTCTGAGAGTACATTATTTACCATAAATCTTTGTACAGACACTCCTATTTTTATTAGCTATTTTCAAAATATCAGAAACTAATAATTCCCCTTCATTTCCACAGAGCAATAGTGATCCTAGACCAAATTCATTCTTTTCCTCTCCAAATTGGTTATGATCCTACTTCAGTTTGGTGCACTATATTTAGGCATGAAGGACAAGGAGAGACAAGCTGTCACTGGTCAACAACAGCAGCAGCAACAACAAAACAGATACAAGGGCTTTTCAGGTTAGTCCTAGAGAATTTCACGACATCCCAGGGTTTTCACCACTTCCGTGAGTAAATTTTCTTTCCTGCTCCCATGCAGGAAATGGTTCAGCGTTGGCAAGCCATTCAGGCCCTCGTTACTGCTATGTTATGAATGTGCCCCCCTGAATTTCATGCATGGGTTTCCAAATTTCCTATGTGGCAGTATTGAGAGGTGGAACGTTTAAGAAGTGAGTGGTTCATGAGTGCTCTGCCCTCCTGAGTGGATTAATCTTCTCATGACTTAATAAATTGATGGGTTAATGGATTAATGGGCAATCATAGGAGTGGAACTGGTGGCTTTCTAAGAGGAAGAGAGGCCTGAGCTAGCATGGTAGCATGCTCAGCCCCCTTACCGTGTGATGGTCTGCACTGCCTCAGGACTCTGCATAATCCTCACCAGGAGGAAGGCTCTCACCAGACACCGAGCCATGCCCTTGGACTTCCAAGCCACCAGAATTGTAAGAAATTTCTTTTCTTTATAAATTACCCAGTTTCAGGTGTTCTATTATAAGCCACAGAAAACAGACTAAGACAGCTGTGTTATTAAGACTCACTTTTGAGAAAATGTAGACATGATCCTGAAAAGAGATATATATATGTGTAGGTGTATGTGAGTTACACAGTTCTAAGATTGCTTGTCTTCAAAATATACAACAAAATAATTAATAGGAAAAAGAGGCACAGTACAATGTTGTAATTATTTTTCAGAAAAAGCTATCAGACTAGGATGGAGAAAGTGATGTCATGTTGTCAAGGGAAGACTTTGATTTTAAAGGGGGATCTATTTACTTATTGCATATATATAAACAGCTTTAAAGAATATTAAACCTACTAAGCTACTTATGGCTTTGCTCTGAGAACTACTTCCTTTGGTGTTTGGTTTCAGTTGGCTTCTTTGAGTCATCTTGCTTCTCTGGACAAGTGAGGTATTTGCTGTCAGTGATGTGGGCTGAATCAATATGGTGTCACTGTTTATGCTTTAAATTGATGAGTTTTCAGAAGGTGGCAGTGGTATGAGAGCCAGTGATTCAGCTCACCCTAGGATTGTTAACAGAGGTTAATATAGTAGATACATGGTGTGTTCTATTTTTCTTTCAAAATAATGATATATTAAAAATATTATGAACATGGAAAAAGCTTTCAATAAAATCCAGCATCCCTTCATGAAGAAAATCCTCAATAAACTAGTCATCGAAGGAATATACCTCAAAATAAAAAGAGCAATCTATGAAAAATCCATAGCCAACATCATACTGAACAGGCAAAAACTGGAAGAATTCCCTTCAAACTGAAACAAGACAAGGATGTTCACTGTCATCATTCCTATTCAGCACAGTACTGGAAGTCCTAGTCAAAACAATCAGGCAAGAGAAAAAAACAAACGACATCGAAGTAGGAAAATAAGTCAAACTATATTTCTTCATGGATATGATTCTGTACCTAGAAAACCCTAAAGACTTCACCAAAAGGCTCCTGGAACTGATAAATGACTTCAATAAAATTTCAGGATACAAAATAACTGTACAAAAATTAGTAGCATTTCTACAAACCAATAACATTCAAGCTGAGTGCCAAATCAAGAATGTAATTCCCTTTACAATAGCCAGCCATATACAAAAAATTATGTGGGAACATATCTAACCAAGGACGTGGAACATCTCTACAAGGAGAACCACAAAACATTGCTAAATGAAATTACCAATGACACAAACAAATGGGAAAACATTCCATGCTCATGGATACAAGAATCAATGTTGTTAAAATGACCATACTGCCCAAAGTATGGTCATCAATCTATAGATTCCATGCAATTCCTCCCAATATCATTTTTCACAGAATTAGAAAAAACAACCCTTAAATTCATATGGAACCAAAATAGAGCCCAAATAGCCAAGGCAATACTAAGCTAAAAGAATAAAACTGGGGGTATCACATTACCCAACTTCAAGCTATACTACAGAGCTGCAGTAACCAAAACAGCATGGTTCTGGTAAAAAACAAAAACAAAACAAAACAAAACAAAACAAAAAAACAGATATATACACCAATGAAACAGAATAGGGAAGCCAGCAATAAAGTCACACACCTACAGCCATCTGATCTTCAACAAATTGGACAAAAATAAGCAATGGGGAATTGACTCCCCACCCAATAAGTGGTGCTAAGAAAGCTGGCTAGCCATAGGCAGAAGAATGAAACTGGACCCCTAATTTTCATTATATATAAAAATTTATATAAAAATTAACTTGGCTGGGTGCAGTGGCTCACACCTGTAATCCCAACACTTTGGGAGGCTGAGGAGGGCGGATCACCTGAAGTCAAGAGTTCAAGACCAACCTGGTCAACAAGGAGAAACCCTGACTCTACTGAAAATACAGAAATTAGCTGGGCATAGTTGCAGATGCCTGTAATCCCATCTACTCAGGAGGCTGAGGCAGGAGAATCTCTTGAACCTGGGAGGTGGAGGTTGCAGTGAGCCAAGATGGTGCCACTGCACTCCAGCCTGGGCAACAGACAAAAAAAAAAACAAAAAAACAAACAAAAAAACTCATGACAGATAAAAGATTTAAATGTAAGATCTCAAACTATGATAATCCAAGAAGAAAACATAGGGCATTCTAGACATTGACTTTGGGAAAGAATTTATGACTAAGTGCTCAAAATCAATGGCAACAAAAATAAATTGGCATGTGGGACCTAATTAAACTAAAAAGCTTCTGCACATCAAAAGAAAATATCAACAGAGTAATTAAGCAGATTACTTACAGATTGGGAGAAAATATTCACAAATGATGAATCCAGGGAAAGTCTGGTATTCAGCATCCAGAGGAAACTTAAACAACTGAACAAGCAAAAAACAAATAACCCCCTCAAAAAATGGGTGAAAGTCATGAACAGACACTTCTCAAAAGAAGATTCAAGAGGCCAACTGACATTTGAAAAAATGCTCCACATCATTAATCAAAACCACAATGAGATACCATCTCACACCAGTCAGAATAACTATTAAAAATTTAAAAAGCAACAGAAGTTGGTGAGCATGTGGAAAAAGGGATACTTATACTCTGTTGGTGGGAAAATCAACAGTTTAGCTACAGTGGAAAGCAGTTTGGAGATGTTTCAAATAAAACAGAGTTACCATTTGACCCAGAAATCCCCTTACTGGATATATATCCAAAAGAAAACAAATTATTCTACCAAAAAGGCACATCATGCACTCACCTGTTCATTGGGACACTATTCACAATAAAAAAGACATGGAATCAACCTAGCTGTCCATCAACAGTGGACTGAATAAAGAAACTGTGATACATATACACCATGCAATACTACACAACTATGCAAAATAATGAAATCATGTCCTTTGCAGCAACATAGTTGCAACTTGAGGCCATTATCCTAAGCAAATTAACCAGGAACAGAAAACCAAATACCACGGCCTCACTCGTAAGTGGGAGCTAAACATTGGGTACTCATGGATGTAAAGATGGGAACAATAGAAACTGGAGACTACTAGAGGGGGCAAAAAGGGAGATAAACAATCATTGAAAAATTATTGGGTACTATACTCAGTACTTTGGTGACAGGATCATTCATACCCCAAACCTAAGCATCATAGAATATAACTCGGAAACAAACTTGTACATGTACCCCTGAATCTAAAATAAAAGTTGAAAAAATATGAATTAGACTATTATATTCATAATTGATAAGTAACCACCGTGCTTTAAGCTTCCATACAGAATTTTCTGTGCAGATAATAGTCTCTTACATATGCTAATTAAGTTGGTAAAACTCTGCTATTCTTCCATAGAATATTTGCCTAATCTGTGTTTCTTTCTCTTAACATATCAAATAAACTTAATTTTCATGGGTTTGCTAAATATTTTTGCTCTGTCTTTAAGAGTTAGGTCAACTGAGTTGTTGGTGTTGAAATTCTCCAGCATTCAAACTATGGTTGGTCATTATGGAGATTGAATCTGTTTAGTCTCAATTGCCTCTGGTAGCAATAGTTTCTCTCCCATCTCTATTTTGCATGTCCTAATTTTGCTTGTAGACTATAAAATGCAATCTAGCACAAGGACTGCCTTTATTGCTTTTCAATCCTAGCATCTAACATAGCATATTTTGCAGATGCTTCTCAATTTACAATGAGACTGTCACAATAAACCCATCATAAGTTGAAAATATTATAAGTCAGAATACATTTAATGTATCTAACCTACTAGACATCATAGCTTAGCCTAGCCTACTTTAAACATGCTCAGAACACTTACATTAGCCTACAGTTGGGCAAAATCATCTAACACAAAGCCTGTTTTATAATAAAGTGTTGAATATCTCATGTAATTTATTGACTATATTACACTGTGTAGTATAGTACTGGTTTACCCTCATTATCACCTGGCTGACTCAGGGCTATGGCTCACTGCTGTTGCCCAGCATCTAGAGAGTGTCATACTGCATATCACTAGCCTGGGAAAAGATCAAAAGTCAAAATTTCAACTATAGTTTCTACTGAATGTGTATTGCTTTTGCATCATTGTAAATTCAAAAAGTCATAAGTTGAACCATCCTGTCTGGGACTGTCTGTATATATGTTTGAGCTTCACAAATATATGACATTAACAATGGTACAATATTGTAAGTAATTTTTTTAATTTTAGAAGAGTAGTATTTACTAGAGGAGTATTTCCTATGTAACTGAGAACTGTGATAAATCCTCCTAATACTTTAGCTCACTTGTTCCTCATAATAATCCTATTTTACAGATGAGGAAATGGACTTAGACTAGGAAACTTGCCCAAGGCTTAGGATAAATATATTTCATCTTAAAAGATAGGTGTGATTTGAGCTGTCACTGGCATTATCAGACTTTTTGTATCAGATTGATTGATGATAGATAACATAAATTGGGTTCTTAATATGTTAAGTATTGTTCTAAGTGTTAATTAACTTATCTTCACAGCCACATGAAG